ACTATAAAACTTTTATTACCAACATGAATTTTCTTTGTAACTATAAAACTTTTATTACCAACATGAATTTTCTTTGTAACTATAAAACTTTTATTACCAACATGAATTTTCTTTGTAACTATAACTATAAAATAAAATTTTTAGACAATTCAGTGATTATGTAAAACAATCTATAATAATGTTTTTTTCTTAAACAAAAAACAATTTTCAAAATGCAGTAATTCAGAATAAGAGAAAAATTCATATCCATACAATAAACATCACTTTTGGTGTAACAGGTTGCAAGAATATGAACAGTAAACTTACGCTGTGGCTGTAACATGTTGCAAGGATATGAACAGTAAATTTACACTGTGGCTGTAACATGTTGCAAGGATATGAACAGTAAACTTACACTGTTGGTGTAACAGATATGAACAGTAAACTTACACTGTGGCTGTAACATGTTGCAAGGATATGAACAGTAAATTTACACTGTGGCTGTAACATGTTGTAAGGATATGAACAGTAAACTTACACTGTGGCTGTAACATGTTGCAAGGATATGAACAGTAAATTTACACTATGGCTGTAACATGTTGTAAGGATATGAACAGTAAATTTACACTGTGGCTGTAACATGTTGTAAGGATATGAACAGTAAACTTACACTGTGGCTGTAACAGGTTGCAAGGATATGAACAGTAAACTTACACTATGGCTGTAACATGTTGCAAGAATATGAACAGTAAACTTACACTGTGGCTGTAACATGTTGCAAGGATATGAACAGTAAACTTACACTGTGGCTGTAACATGTTGCAAGAATATGAACTGTAAACTTACACTGTTGGTGTAACAGGTTGTAAGGATATGAACAGTAAACTTACACTGTGGCTATAACATGTTGTAAGGATATGAACAGTGAACTTACATTGTGGCTGTAACATGTTGTAAGGATATGAACAGTAAACTTACACTGTGGTTGTAACATGTTGTAAGGATATGAACAGTAAATTTACACTGTTGGTGTAACAGGTTGCAAGAATATGAACAGTAAACTTACACTGTGGCTGTAACATGTTGCAAAAATATGAACTGTAAACTTACACTGTGGCTGTAACATGTTGCAAGAATATGAACTGTAAACTTACACTGTGGCTGTAACATGTTGCAAGAATATGAACAGTAAATTTACACTGTTGGTGTAACAGGTTGCAAGAATATGTACTGTAAACTTACACTGTGGCTGTTCTTCTATCCATCTGAACATGTAATTGATTCTCAAGAAATTCTCGACCCAATGAAACCCTGGGGTGACCAGATTCTGAAACAAAACTTGAAGAGTCACAACAAAATCTTTGAAACCATCATTACTTGGTTAAACTCCATAATTACAGAAACAAATTGTTATTCTACATTTTACAAGTATTTCATTTACCACAACCATGGTGTTGCCTTACTACAACCACGGTGTCCCCTTACTACAACCACTGTGTCCCCTTACTACAACCATGGTGTCGCCTTACTACAACCACGGTGTCGCCTTACTACAACCACAGTGTCGCCTTACTACAACCATGGTTTGACTTTAAGCACCCAGTGTTTATAAAACATTTGTCCAGAATTTTATTTCTTCTAAACCTGAACCAACTTCTTTGTTAAACACAATATCTTTGTTGGGTTTTCTTCAATTTCTATTGTTTCTCTAATATTTAATTCAACCCGATTTATCAATTTAACTTTACTACAGTCTATAACACAAGACTTGCCTTGGCACTGCCCAAAATTCTTTATAGTTTTTTTACTAATAATTTAATTACATAGTTCTTTGATTTTCTCATTAAGAAACAGCTAAAAGAAAACAAAAATTGTTTGGCATATTTTAAACTTTAAAAGTCCAATTTAAACTTGATTTAATTTCTAATTAACTAATAGGTAAACTGAGCTAAATCTCACCAATTAATTATTGTGTTTACACTAAACAAGTGTACAAGATACTGAAGAAGGTTCTTACCTGCAACAAGAACTGAACTGGTATGCTTGTATCCATTAAACTCGAGATATTCTAATTATTGTGTTTACACTAAACAAGTGTACAAGATACTGAAGAAGGTTCTTACCTGCAACAAGAACTGAACTGGTATGCTTGTATCCATTAAACTCGAGATATTCTATAATTAGTTCATTAATTAAGAAGTTTTCACTGGACAATGCTGGTGGTGAAGTTTCCGGGTTCTCAAGAGCGTTAAAAAGTTCAGCTCGGATTCTTCCCTTCAAGTCTGTCAGAATTCCTTGTCTTTTCAAAACATCTTTCAAAGCTTTCAAAATAAAGTACTGCTTTCTTAGTTTCATTGTTACTAAAAAATGTCTATTAAACATCATAGAATAAAATGTTAAGGTATAGAAATAATTAGTTATCTTCCAATGATCACTTTGTTTTTCACTTTCAGGTATAGAAATAATTAGTTATCTTCCAATGATCACTTTGTTTTTCACTTTCAGGTATAGAAATAATTAGTTATCTTCCAATGATCACTTTGTTTTTCACTTTCAGGTATAGAAATAATTAGTTATCTTCCAATGATCACTTTGTTTTTCACTACCTTTACAATTACTTTAGGAGTAATTAGGTAATTAATCATGGTTAGAAGTTTGTTTTTTAATTACATGCCTATTAAATGCAGTAATGTTGTTTATAACTTCTTAAAGTGCCAAATTCCTATTCTGTTATCTCCTAAACAGGTTAAATAAACAATTTATCTTTAGTTTTTTTAATTTTTTTAAAATCTACCCTTAATTTTGAAGTGATAGACTAGAAGTAAGGAAGCTAGTCAACACTGCCAACTTCTGGACTACACTTGACCAATGGATTGTGTGATTGAAAGAACAAGCACGTTCAGCAATAGGATTCAAACCCATGACCCACAGATTGTAAGTGGAGTGACATAAACACAAGGCCAGACAACTTATTAAAAATTATAAAGTTTCACATAGATTTCAGTCAACATTTCTTGTACAAGTTAGCTGGTTATTTAACCTCCTCATAAATGATTGAATAAAATAAACTTCTTTTCATAGGGAGTGTGATGTTACTGATAACTAATCATCCTTGTGAAGGGAATCCTTTCACTGTTAACTGATCATCCTTGTGAAGGGTATCCTTTCACTGTTAACTGATCATCCTTGTGAAAGGTATCCTTTCACTGTTAACTGATCATCCTTGTGAAGGGTATCCTTTCACTGTTAACTGATCATCCTTGTGAAAGGTATCCTTTCACTATTAACTGATCATCCTTGTGAAGGGTATCCTTTCACTGTTAACTGATCATCCTTGTAAAGGGTATCCTTTCACTATTAACTGATCATCCTTGTGAATGGTATCCTTTCACTGTTAACTGATCATCCTTGTGAAGGGTATCCTTTCACTGTTAACTGATCATCCTTGTGAAGGGTATCCTTTCACTGTTAACTGATCATTCTTGTGAAGGGTATCCTTTCACTGTTAACTGATCATTCTTGTGAAGGGTATCCTTTCACTGTTAACTGATCATCCTTGTGAAGGGTATCCTTTCAGTATAAAGCATTCATACACTCTTATCATCAAAATATATTTTCAGGTCAGAGATTTAGAATTTCCAAGAGAGGGATTTCCCTTCGAATTAATGACATTGGAAACAAGGAATATGGATTAACTTGGGGCACCAGGAACATTCAGAAATGGACCTATGACTAACCATGGTAAGCACAGTGTGGCATCATGTAAAATGTGAAAATCCATGAACATAGCAATCAGTGGCAAAATCCAACCACATGCCCACGCAATAGTATCACAACATAATAAATAAGGATCTCTGTCAGGAAACCAGGTCAACAAGGTTACAGGTTTACCAAGATAAGGTTTTCACTCATACCATCACGTACTTCAAGCAACTGGTGAATGAAATACATATTCATTCTATTTGCAGACCTATCAGTTAAAATGTTCTGATGCCATGATTTATTTTTTATTGGACCATTGAACAGAGCTGGGCAATTAACTTGATTAGTGTTGCATAAAAGAAATAATTACTGTAGAGCAAATAATTAACCATAATTAGGGTTTCCAATTACCACTGTTTTCTATTATTCTACCCATTCATGTAATCAGAATAATGCCTCAATGATTTCTCATTATTTTTACGATTAATTCGAGTCTGTTTAGCTTTGGGTCAGCACAGCCTCGGGGTTCAAGGGTCCCAAGTTCAATTACCTTTACTGACAAATAAGCTCCTGATAAAGAAAGGTCCACTTTTCAAAAATGATCAGTTTATATGGTTTTGGAACGTGTTCTTCTAACGTTCTGAATAAAACTAAAATTGTAATAGGATAGTTTTATTATAAAAACAATGAATAATAATTTCATTTCCAAAGGGTAACAAGGAGCCATTAGATAGATCTAATACAAACTCTTTTACTGTTGTAGCTTTTACTATAGCCACAGGTAAGCTACCCACTAGGCCAACCACCCTATTACAAGTAATACCACCTGAACTATAGACCCATGCCCAAGTCCTCCTTATCTTAAACTCAATCTTCAGTCTTAGTGACTACATAATCTTTACAAAAACATGATGTGAATAAATGACTTCCAACTCTCAGTCTTAAAACTTCAATGAGGGAGGGATGTCCCATTTTTAGATTTATTGTTAACAACTGCTGTGGATATTCTTATAGAAGTGGAAGTGGGGTAGGGACATTTGGGAAGTAGTGATTACTGCACATTTGTGTTTTAATGTTTTATTATGCATTGAAATAAAACAAAAACATCAAGTTTTCATTCCAAATTTTCAAAAAGACAAGCAGGATTTATCATTAGTGAATAGGGGTAATGATGTGGGATAGGTTTAGAACATTCTGAAAAATAAATGGCTTTTAATTTATGCTAGGTGCATCCTTAGAAAAAGGTAAATGGGTATATCAAACCTACCTAGCCTACAGAAGACAGAAAATAAATGCCACAAGTTTAAGTTGACAGATAAGTTGGAAGATTTACTGAACCGTTGGGAAACCGAGGGATTCAGTTAAAAAAATTAATTAGGAAATTAAAAATGGCTTATGAGATACAGCTGCCTGATAATGTTAAAACTAACAGCAAGAATTTCTTTTTAACTATGTTACAGGTAAACAAAACATGAAAATGGGGATTGAGCACTTAAAAGATGATGATGGCAAAGTTGTTTTATTGAGGACAATTACATGGCTAACCTTTTAAATGTCTTTTGTTTGTTTTTTAACCACAGAAGATACTTGCAATATTCCCGACCCTAAGCATTATACAAAAAACATTATAACTGAGAATCATGTTGATCTTAACTCAAAAAGATTAGCAGACTAAAATTAACATGAGTGTTTTCCCCAGGACTTTAAAGATTAGATAGAGACATTGGGCAGATGCCTGAACGTTGAACTGCTACTAATAACTAATGTGACTCCTCTTTTTCAAAGGAATATTAAAAGTTCTTCTGACAATTACAGACCAGTATTTTTACTTATGTAATAGGAACAAAAACAAAACTAGTAATTACAGGACAGTAGTATTACTTCTGTAATGGGAACAAAAACTGTGATACCCTACTGTGGACAGTGTTATGTATAGTTGATACCCTACTGTGGACAGTGTTATGTATAGTTGATACCCTACTGTGGACAGTGTTATGTATAGTTGATACCCTACTGTGGACAGTGTTATGTATAGTTGATACCCTACTGTGGACAGTGTTATGTATAGTTGATACCCTACTGTGGATAGTGTTACGTATATTTGATACACCTACTGTGGACAGTGTTATGTGTATTTGATACCCTAATGTGGACAGTGTTATGTGTATTTGATACCCTAATGTGGACAGTGTTATGTATAGTTGATACCCTACTGTGTACAGTGTTATGTATATTTGATACCCTAATGTGGACAGTTTTATGTGTATTTGATACCCTACTGTGGACAGTGTTATGTATAGTTGATACCCTACTGTGGACAGTGTTATGTATAGTTGATACCCTACTGTGGACAGTGTTATGTATAGTTGATACCCTACTGTGGACAGTGTTATGTGTATTTGATACCCTAATGTGGACAGTGTTATGTGTATTTGATACCCTACTGTGGACAGTGTTATGTGTATTTGATACCCTACTGTGGACAGTGTTATGTATAGTTGATACCCTACTGTGGACAGTGTTATGTGTATTTGATACCCTACTGTGGACAGTGTTATGTATAGTTTTTTATGAAAACTCGGGGCACTAAACGTTGTTGTTTTTTTTTAATACTTAACCTTACTTTTATTAACATTCACCCAATAATCCAAATTTCCCTGCAAAACTATCAATGTCGTTAATGAAAATGGGGGAAGAAAAAACAAATCCAGCACTATAATGTAGCAGTGGCACACAAGACCGAGGTAAACCTGAAAAGTCTTAATCTAATATTATAAGGTTATGTAGCACCTTAGAATAGCAAACTTTCGAAAGCCCGTAATTCTATGAAAGTCAAACTCCAGCTCTACTCTAGCCTCTAGGACTAGTCCTAGCATACCAAATGATCCACTGCTTTCTTCAATCGTTATCATACCTGGATTAATTAGACGTAATATTTTCAAAAATATGTTAGCAAGTTTAATTATGAATTAGAGAGACACAACATTCCCGTTCCATACTAATTGTGGTAATATGGAACTTATAAGTTCTAGAACTTACTTAAAGTTTTACTTACCAGTTTTAAGCGTCTGTATTTCATCGCGATAAGCCATGGTCAAGTTTCTCATATATTAGCTTGCACCACAAATTACCATCTGTCGATAAATTTAAAGTTAAAAGGCACGTTTGTTTTCTGTTTAGATATTCAGCGTAAAACTACACAAGTATTTGCATTGATCTGACCACTGGTTTTTAGCGTTATAAAACCTCAAGCTTACCGCCGCTGAGTTACCAGTGATAGGGGTGGTTAAAAAATTACACCATAAAATATTGAAAAAAAGAACAAAAAACACAAACACCTTTACGATGTGATTGGATATATATATGTGTGTGTGTGTGTAGGTAGAATTACAATAGTTGAAAAACTGCTAATTTCACTTTTCCAAATTTTGTGAAGAATATATCTTTATTTACGTAATTTTCTTTAAACTTTTGTGCAGATATTCTGTATGTAATTAGAGGTATCTTTGTAAAGCGAATGCAGAATGACCGTAAACTCTAACTTATACAAGGTTACATACCACAATGATTATTTACTAAAGCTTATACTTTCTTAGCGTCTTTCTGTGTGTCATGTCCTCCTGGAATGAGATGGCATTTACTTCGATGGGTATAACTGAATTTTGTACAATTTAATATAACTTGAGATTTATCTCCCTTAATATGTGAAAAAACTATAACGAAAAATATTGTTAAAGTAGGTTATCCGAGGATTGTAGGGTAATTCACTAGGATTTGTTCTAAATTAATAATATAGTACCTTATTATAGTTTCTTTTATCTTCATACTATATATACTTTCCATTTCTTTCAGTCCTAACATATCGTACCTTAAACATTCTCTTTTAAACTCTAAAGCTATTCCTTTCTCCATATATTTTTCTTCCTGCACATCAGTGAGATAATTTACAGCGTCAGATAATATGTCACCAATTTTGAAAAATATTATTTTTCACCTAAGACGAACATAAGCACTTGAAGGTGGCACATTAACCAGGCATAAACCAAGAACAATCATCCTTAAGTAGAGGAATTTCTACGCGGACTAAAACAATTTGTCAAAATAAAATAAAAAATGTATATATATATTTCATCATATTACTTAATACCAATAAGCCCTTATGTACAAGTAATACTTGACAATTTTAGGTTCATTTAAAGTCGCTGACACCATGACGTTCTTTCGTCATTGGAACTCAATGTTAAATATAGCGAAGTAAATTAGAACCACCCGAGTTCATGACAATACCTCTTTGACGAGCTTCTGACCTCCTCTAACAGCCATTAATATAGAATTCAGCCAGTAACTGATAAAGCTTTAGGTCACAGTACGTTATCGTTATAATAATGAAGAATCTTGCTTTCCTCGTACACTTATATTGTTTTTTCTTCATGTTCATTATATTATTTGCATAACATTCAGAACCTATTGTTGTACCTGAAAACCATACACACTCTGCTATATTTTAGTTCCATAACCAAATGATTAGTTTATACCAGTTCATTTTTACTATGCTTATTTTATTTTACCTTGACTTTACGGTTACTGTAAGTTTGATAAGATGTCATCATCGTGGAAGGTCACTTTCTGAGACAAGGCAACGAATTTTGAGAAGAGGTGCTGTGGGTGAGATGAGGATACAATCTCAGAGTTTGGCAAAGACCTTACTTTGAAATAAAAGCATGTAGTATTCCTAATCACACCTTTCTGATAATAGGAGGTTCGATCAGGTAATGAATTGTGGAGTAAGTCTGGATTCCTACTTTGGTCAAATTTGAAGGATGAGATTTAACAATATGTAGTAAAGTCAAAATGTATCCTTATTTATTTACATATGTCATAGAAATGAGTAAACAGATTGATAGACAGTGCCTTTACTATAACTGTCTATGGAAGTTTAGTGGGTGATCTATGGGTCAACGATCTGTAAAGACAGTGCCTTTACTATAACTGTCTAGGGAAGTTTAGTGGGTGATCTATGGGTCAACGATCTGTAAAGACAGTGCCTTTACTATAATTGTCTATGGAAGTTTAGTGGGTGATCTATGGGTCAACGATCTGTAAAGACAGTGCCTTTACTATAACTGTCTAGGGAAGTTTAGTGGGTGATCTATGGGTCAACG